ACTCAGATGGACTGAATCCCACAGTCAGGTGTAGATCCTCCTTGATTCTCTCATTGGCATTAATTAGGAAGCTTAAGTGACCAAACCCAATTCCCACTAAAACCCACTGCCATTGAATTGATGGTACTCATAACTTCCCCAGAACAGGGGATCTGAGTCATGCATCTTTAGAGTAGCAAACAGCCTCATTGTCTCCCCTGGAGCACCTGGTACAAATGAACCGTTGACCTGGTGGGCAGCAGTGTAGGGCCTACCCACAGTGCCAAGGCCGGCTCCAGACATGAATTGACCTTGGTTGGGGGCAAGTCTCTGTGTTGGTTCCCTAGGGATGTTCCAGCAACGCACCAGACACAGGGTGGCGTCACACCGAGGGAGCGTCCTGTGAGCCTGGAGTTCACATCAGGGTCTCTGCCATGTTGGTACACCTGCACCGGTCATTTCCCCTAGGTCCCTGTGTGGCTCTTCTCTTGATGCGGACACACCACTCTTTTTAGGCTAGGACCCACCCTGCTCCGGGATGCCTTGACTGATAGCATCTTCAGAGATGCTACTTCTGAACGGGGTCACAGTCACAGGTACTAGGCTCGGAATTTTAGTAGGAGTAAAAAGGAGGTAAATTAACACAGGGACCTCAACAGCGGGCTTAAGTATAAGAACAGTCCAGGCAGGGTTTAGATCTGTTGTCCATAGGCTCGCCATGAGTCGCACTGACTTGAGGGTCACCTGACAAAAACAATTGTGGGGACAGTGGTTCAACCCATGAGTCCTCTTTTCATTGTTTAAAAAAAAAAGCGTTTTGTTTTTTTTTTTAACAGAAGTTTTTAAAGACAACAAGATGCTCAATTTGAGAGCTAATTACTTTTTTTTTTTTTTTAACTCATTTTCAGACGTTATCTTTTCAACTGGCTGACAAAACCCAGGCCCAGGTCATCTTGGCAAACGACCCGGATGCTGATCGACTTGCCGTGGCAGAAAAACAAGCCAGGTAAGGGTCATTGTGATAACCCAGATGATAAACATTGCTGCGCCTCTTCCTTCATCTCGCTTAGCGCCAACCGTAACCAGGGCCCCACTTGGGTTGCTTGTCCATTCATTTGAATGTCATCAGTGACTAATGATTAGGATACGAAATCAGTGATCAATTAAGATAGGAATACTGGGCAGTCACTCCACGTGCGGCTTTGCCATGAGGCCCTACAGCTCAGGTGCTTGCTCGACAGAGGGCTCAGCTAGACAGTCATATCTCAGACGTTTGCCAAGTGCCACTCATCTCTACGACGGTGAGTGGCAAGTCTGGTCCTGCACATGCCCCGTGTCTTTCCCTCCTGGCCGCGTTGTGCTGTCCCGGAGACCTCCTCGCAGAGTGAGACCGCTGAGCTCAATAGCGGCTGTTTCTTCCAGTGGTGAATGGAAAGTGTTTTCCGGCAATGAGTTGGGTGCCCTGCTGGGCTGGTGGCTCTTTACCTCTTGGAGAGAGAAGAACCAAGATCGCAGTGCCCTCAAAGACACCTACATGCTGTCCAGCACCGTCTCCTCCAAAATCCTCCGGGCCATCGCCTTGAAGGAGGGCTTTCATTTCGAGGTGAGGTGTAGGCAGGAATCCCCCTTCTGCCTTCCTTCTGCTTTGTAGGAGCGCTAGGGCAGCGGTTCTCAACCTGTGGGTCACGACCCCTTTGGAGGTCCAACGACCCTTTCACAGGGGTCGCCTGATTCATCACGGTAGCAAAATGACAGTGATGAGTAGCAACGAAACTGATTTTATGGTTGGGGTTCACCACAACATGAGGAATTGTATGTAAGGGTCACGGCATTAGGAAGGCTGAGAACCACTGCTCTAAGGGATTTCCTTCTCTTCTGAATCGCCCCTCTAGGAAACCCTAACTGGCTTTAAGTGGATGGGAAACCGAGCCAAGCAGCTGATAGACCAGGGGAAGAATGTTCTCTTTGCATTCGAGGAAGCCATCGGTAAGAAGTGAGCATGGGACCGATGGACCGGACCGTTACATACAGTGTAACGGACTACCTGGGGAGAGATTGGGGTTTGGACCTCCGTTCAACAGACCCCTATGGCAAGCAGCACACACAGTTTACTCTTGCTTCTGTCGTGTTTGGGTAACTAGCCTTGGCTGTGAAGCTTCGTGCAACGACCCTCAAATTTGCTTCTGAGATTCAGCTCAAACGGGTGCTTTATGAATCACCGAGCCATTAACACAGGAAGGAAATGCTCTCCCCAGTGACTGTAAATAGTAGTGCTCTGTGCGCGGCTGCGGTAGCTTGAGGATCCACCTGTGTTTCAGAGTTAGCATGTTTGTCTTCCCAAAGGGCTGCTCCCAGTCCAGCCTCCGTAGAGTGTGACCCCGAATGGTGCTGGATCTTATGTGTGCCCACAAACGACGTGGCGCAGTGCCATGAGGTAAACTAAAGCTGTGTGCATGACGTGTGCTTTCTGCAGGGTACATGTGCTGCCCATTTGTTCTGGACAAAGATGGAGTCAGTGCTGCCGTCATCAGCGCGGAGTTAGCTAGCTTCCTCGCAACCAAGGAGCTGTCTCTGTCTCAGCAGCTGAAGGCTGTCTATGAGGAGTAAGTAGATGCTGCCTAATGAATTCATAGTTCTAACTGCTGTATTTTATTCTTTTACATAAGATGCTATCGTTTATTGGTTATGAATTTGACTCCTTATAAAGACAAAGATCTTTTCCTCTTGACACTTAACCACTTTCTTCATTGCCACTCCTAAGCCCAGTAATTCTTAACAATTGATGGCCTTGGTTGTGGAAATGGCTAACTAAACAAAGGGGGTTCTGAGTTTATAAGGAAATCTCATTATTTTTCAGCTCCATTTTTTTCCCCCTTGAACTTTTTGAAGCCTTCTCATTTGCTTCCAAGTGGCCAAGGTCCAAAAAGATTCCGTCTTCTACTTTTAAATTAAAAGTCATCACAGTTCCCAGTTGGAGGAAGCATGGTGTGAATGTACGACGGGTGATGTTGCGTTGCATCGTCTGATGACGTGTCAGCGGTTGTTGGGTACTGCATAGATGTAATATTCTTGTCTGAGCCTTCATGAACAGACAGCACTGCTTCATGTGCCCAGCAGGGCACTGCACAGAATTTGTGGGTCAAGTGGCATCTATAGGGGTGTGGGTCATGTGGAGAGCCAGAGATGGAAAAGTCAGGTCTTGTCTTACAACAGGTAACTTCAGGCCCCATGTGGGACCTGAAAGGGATGTATTAATGTAGAAATGTGTCATGGTTGTCTCTGTAGTTTTCACTGCGGTTTGAGGTAGTTGACTCTGTATACCACATTATGAATAACCATTAGTTTAACTAAAGCACTGTGCATATTCTTTTCCTTGCCTAGTAATTTACACAAAACATCCCCTGATAGTTATTTTAAAGAAGCCCTGAGCTGGGGCATTGGGTTAAGTGCTGGACTGCTAATCCCAAGATCAGGGTTCAAACCCACCAGCCCCTTCTTGGGAGAAATGGGGTAGGGGTTCGAATGACCTCAACAGCAATGGGTTGTTGGGGTGAGTTCCTATTGTATTTTAAGGGAGGTTTAAAGGGCCCTTTTTAAAATCCGAGTCTTCAACACTCTCCGTTATGAAATGCTATCCCTAGAGAAAGGATTAAGTCTGCTTACAAGGCCTTTGGATTGATTTATTTTTAATTCTGTCAGGCAGTTTCTTACAAAACATCAAAGGACAACCCTTACGTGGGGTTGTTGTAGGCTAATGATACTTTCCAAGCAGAGTTTTGAACAATAAAGGCTTTTGAACATGGGTGCCCCACGATTTGAGGGCTCGGCTATATTTTGTGTAGAAAAGTAGATCGTAACTATTCAGGCTTTGTAGTCCACTTGTCACCTTTGTAGCGGTTAGCAGCTGTGCTTTGGTATTGCAGAAGCCAGCAGAGCCAACAGGATAAGGGAATAGGCGTGCCCTGGTTGTGCTTCCATAAAACTCTGATTCCCGAAGCAGCCAAAGACCGGGCAGTGGCTTGCCGTCCCCAGCGTTCTGTGTTAAGCCCGCTTTTTGATGCTCGGTGGGTTTTTTTGCACTCTGAAGCTAGTTCTGGTCATTTGGTTCCTCGCATTTAGAACGTACTGGATGCGACCTGTGCGGTGTGGGGGATACACAGTTTCTCGCTCCTCATTGTGCGTTTGCATGCGTTTCCTTAGGTATGGCTACCATATGACCAAAGCGTCCTACTTCATCTGTCATGACCCAGGCACTATCAAAAAGTTATTCGAGAACCTGCGAAACTATGACGGGAAAAATAACTATCCAAAAGCTTGCGGCAAGTTTGGCGTTTCAGGCATCAGAGACCTTACCACTGGCTATGACGATAGCCAGCCCGACCGCAAAGCTGTGAGTGATGTTTGCCATGATCAGGCATGTTGTGTCAGTCCAGAGTGTCATTGTATCCTTAGTTGAAGCTGATCTTAGAGGTTTAAGTGCCATGGCATTTGGTTAGCATGTATTTTCTGGTTCATCCTGTGGGGTAATACTATCTATGTCAGCGCGCTTTCTGAAAATTCCCTACTTAAGTCTCTAACTGTGTCATTCCATCCCTAGGTCCTCCCCACTAGTAAAAGCAGCCAAATGATCACCTTTACCTTTGCCAACGGAGGTGTGGCCACCATGCGGACCAGCGGGACAGAACCCAAAATAAAATACTACGCAGAGCTCTGTGCCCTACCTGGAAACAGGTATGACGTCACTGGTCGCTCATGTGATTTTTAGAACCGACACTTCCAACATGGTGTGCGTTTCAAGCACTAAGTATAAAAGGCTCACCTTTCCCATTTTTGTCGTGTGTGGACTCATAGCGACCCCCTGTGCAGTAGAATGAGACACTACCCTGTCCTGAGCATCCTCACAGTCAGGACAGGTTAGAGCCGATTGTTGCAGCCACTTGGCAGTCCATCTCATTGCAGGGCTGACGCTTCTTCACTCCCCTTCTGCTTTGCCGAGCAAGATGCCCTTGCCTCAGGGACTCATCTCAGAACACTCAAACTCCCTGTCATCGAGTCCGTGTGGACTCGTAGCAACCCTCTAGGGCATGGTAGAACTCACCCTGTAGGGTTCCGAGGCGGTAACTCTTTATGGGAGTAGAAAGTCTCATCTTTCTCCCTTGGAACGAGCTGGTGTTTTTTGAACTGCTAACCTTGCAGGTAGCAGCTGAACACATAACCACTGCACCGTCAGGGCTGGTCCCTCCTCATCACAAAGGATGAGAGACCAAGTCCCACCATCCGCGCTTCAAAGAAGCGGTTTGGCTGTTCTTCTACCAGGGCAGATGTGTTTTCCAGGAAGTCCACACCACTGATGACCTGCTTCACCAACATTGTAATCCACGTGCATCACTTCTTCTCTCGTATTCACTGTCCAACGTTCACATGCACTGGAGGTGATAGACAGTGTGCTTTGATTCAGGCGTACCTTAGTCCGCCCACTGCTGCCCTGTGCAGCAGACCTGCCAAATAGGTCATTTCATTAGAGCCGTTGCTTCAAAGCCCGTGAGCAGTATCAGCAGCTGCCTGCAGCATCCAAGGGTAAGATTGCCTACTTCTTAGTTGTGGCAAAGTCGGCGCCTCCTTTCTCCTCTCCTAACTTCCTTTGTATGAATTTTTCATGCCTCGTTTCAGTATTAGTACAACTTCCTTGTTTCTAAGTGTTTTTATTTGAGGCTAGCGCCAGCACCTTTCTCCCTTTCCCTCCTGCAGTCTTCCCACAGGTCTAGTGGAATATATGACGGTGCCTTCCACATGCATTCCTTGAGTACCTCAGCTCACTACCAATGAGTCAATGCCAACTCACAAAGCCCAGTCTTTCTCCCAAAGAGCGACAGGTGGTTTCGAACTGCTGACCTTGCGGATGGCAGCCCAATGCATAACCGCTACACCACCATGTATAAATCTCCCAGGGCCCCGTTAAGGATTCAAGAGCTGCTCAAAAAGAGGCCTTGCCATCAAAGAGCTGATGACCTGGTGGATTCAGTGCCAGGTTTCTGAGACCTTGGCAGAGGGTTGAGTTGGTCCCTTTCCACCCACTGTAACCTTTTGAACTGTAACAGCTTTGGCGCATGTCCTTAGCACATGTGAGTGTGACCCCAGCTCCTGCCTGGCACTTGGTTCACCAGCACTTCATGACGCAAAAGACTGTTGTGAATTGAGGGTGAAAATGGCCTACGCTTAGTCAAGTTAACACTGGTCAGTAGATAATGCTTATGTGAGTCACGTTAGCCATCTGGATTTTTCACTAGCTGCATTTTTCCCCAAAGGAAAAGAAATATGTGGGATTAATTTCAATAATACACTTTTCTTTAACTTCATACATACAAAACTGTAGTTCTAATATTTAATCTCTGTAAAGATTACTGAGACATGTTATCATTTTTTAGGCTCACTCTTTCCCCTTCAGTATTACCATTCAGCTTGTCTCAATTTGAATTCAAATCATCCCCAGAAAGATTTGATCTATATTTCAGTATCACAATATGCCATTAAAAAGGTAGATTTTTAAAAATTTTGATAAATCGTTTTATTGGGGCGCTTACATTGGTATAAGCTCCTCTTTTTTCCCCTCCCTCCCCCAGAAACGATTGATTTTGATATCCACATTGTTCTACAACATTGTTTTCCGACAACGGAACTGAGGGTCAGTTTTCAACTAGTTCAAATAAAACTTAAAATTCCGTTCCTCAGATGGGTGGAACTAAGAGAATGGAAATTATAGGCCTCAGTAGTTATCACTCCATGGGCCAATAGAAGCCAAAGCTTTGCTCAGGGAAGGATTTCCAGCTTGATAATCAAATTTGCATTCTATGACTGTAAAGCAGAGAACACTTTCTAAGTGTCCTAGATTAGAAAGCCCATGGCGGGTTCCGTACAGCGGGTCAGAGGCGTGGAGGAAGAACGGTTACAGCGGGACATTCTGTAGGTAGCGGAAGTGACCGCTGTGGCAAAGAAGGAAGTTTTTGAAATTAAATGTGGGCACAAAAGGATATTAAAAACAGACTGGCCTAGGAGTTTTATAATAAAGGAGTAGCATTCCGCATCTCAATTCCCTGACTCCTCTTAATAGCAGCTGTGCTCCCACCATCACAGTCACCATTACTGTTCCAAATGTTACAGCATTCAGTAAAAGTAGAGGAAAGAAGTCTTGGGACTGTGTAATGCATCTTGCTACAAATTCTTATTCAAAACCATTTCATGCTTCCAGGGCAGAAACTCAACCATTAAGCAATCTGAATGAACCTATAAAACTACTCATTTTCTGAACGCTCTGGATTGTCAACTTTCTATTGTGTTTGTCTCATTCTCATGCATGGTATCATAAGCTATTTGCTATTGTAGCAAGTCTGATTTTTCCATAGACACGTCTTTGTCATTCTTAGTGTCACTTAGCATTTTCAGATTTCTATATCTTATTCTTTTAGGAAGAAATAGACCTACGTTTAACTTAGGGATGTGTTTTCTCTATAGATTATCATCCGCTCCTTTTCATTGTTCTGTGAAAATGTAACTCGCGGTTTTAGAAAACCCTAGTAATATAATAATAGCCATTTTGTTGGATGCTTATGCATCTATTTGAATTTGTATATGAGTTAGTGGAGTTACATTCAAAGGTTAATGTACAAATTGCTGAAAATATTTGGGAAAGGTGTCCTTCTATTGTACTCATTGAGATGTTTCTGCCACTAATGACCCTTTAGGCACCTGACAGCCCCGTATATTGCGCATTTATTTGTGTGTGTGTGTGTGTGTGTGCTCGTGTGTGGTTTCTAAACCATTGGAAAAGTCCCATACTTTTTACCCCTAAGTACGTCAATATGTATCTCCTAAGAACAGGAATGCTCTCTTACTAGCTCTTGATGATTCAATACTAGTTATCAGTTGGTGCTCCACAGAGGAACCAGGTGGATATACAACATCTATTATTGTTTTAATTTTTCTTGGCCCCTTGAAGTCCTGTCATCGATGTTAGGAGATTTATTGTAGAGAATTGATTACGGGGACTGATTAGGCCAGTCAGCAGCCAGGTGGGGCAGCCTGGAACCCCCCAGGAGAGCCGAAGCTGCACCCACAGTGGGAATTTCTTATTCATGGAAGCTCAACTCGTGTTCTGAAGGCTTTTCAAAGAGTAGAATCAGACCCGCTCGTGATCCTCTTTGCCTAAAGCCGACTGCTCAGGCGTTTCTCCCGGCAGCAGTGCTTGCTGCTGTGCCGGCGAGGTGGTTCCAGATCGCGGGGCCCCTCTGAAGCACAGCCCGTCCTACGCCATCCTCACAATCGTCGTCCCACTTGAGCCCATGGCTGCAGCCAGTACGGCATTTCATCTCGTCTAGGGCTTTTCTCTGCTTCGATGCCTTTTTACTTGACCAGGCATGCTGTCCTTTTCCAAAAGTCAAACTTCTCCCAAAGCCCCCCCCCCCCACCACTACCAAATAATACATCTTTCTCCCAGTTGAGAATCCAACCCAGAACCCCGCACTGCATTTGGTTCTCATCTAGCTTAAAGAGTTTCCATGGTCGCTAGAGATAAAACAAGTGCCTGTTTCCAGGGCATTTGGCAACTGCATAAGGTCGCATATCTATCATTGTGTTATCATATGGAAGAGTTGCTGTCTTCAAATCCCTTATGCTCCCCTGATTCTTGACCATCCTTTCCCAAACTTCTGGCCATCATGTAATCTTTTCACTGTCTCCATAACAATGATAGTGGTTTCTTCTTCTCTGGAAAATCATGTTGTGGGGAACATACCGCTTGTATCTTTTCAGACTGATTTATTTCACTTAGCAACATGCACTTTTGGCTTCTCTATGCCCTGTTGTAGTTTCACCGTCCTGTTCATTTTATCAGGGAGTAATGCTCTGTTATATGAATATACCGCAGTGTGTTTATCCCTTCCCTTATTGGAAAACGTCTTGGTTGCTTCCAAATCGAAAACTTAACTGCCATCCCCTCGATTGCAACTCCCAGTGGTCCTGTGGGGCAGAGTAGCACTGCCCCTGCTGTTCTTTATGGGAATAGAAAGCCTCATCTTTCTCCTGAGGACCTACTGGTGGCTTGGAACTGCTGACCTTGCAGTTAGCAGCCCACTGCATATCCCACTACCCCACAAGTGCACCTCCGTGGTTGTATACATATATACACACACACCGTATATTTATACATATTTAGCATATATGCCTTTCTGATCATTTTTCCTTGAAAGCATATTTATAAAGAAGGCTAAAAAGCCTGTGTAATTTATATGTACAAAGGGGCTTCAAAAACTTCGTGGGATAATTCCATTTCTTTTCATTGATTTTAGAGTCTTTGTAGATGCTGACTGCTGTATGGTTCTCCCTTGGAGAACTGATGGGAAAATCACTAACCTTTCCGTTAGCAGCCAAATGCTTAACCACTGTGCAACCTAAGCTCCTGATTATAAGCGTCACTCACGGCCATTGAGTTGATTCCAATCACAGCGACCCTGTCTGTAGCACAGGGTAGAATGCCCTATGGCTTCCCAAGGCTGCAGTTCTCTGTGCCAACAGAAAGCCCAAGCTTTCTCCCAATTATAACGACAGCTACATTTATTTGGGACTATGTGCCAATGTCTCTGCTAACTGCTATCTAAAATTTCTCTTATTCTGTCAACAGTTGTCTTGAGAAAATAAATGTTTTGAGGAATCTGGGCCTTAGAGAGGCTAAGTCACTTTGCGCCAGGTCACACGGCCAATAAAGCCCCAATTTATGCCCATTACAGCGTGGAGGATCCCTGCTGATAAAGAGTGGTTATATGTTGGGTTGTGAGCCGCGCACGGTCACCAGTTGGAACCACCAGCAGCCCCACTCCGCAGGGAACAAATTGGGCTTTTTACTCTGTGAACAGATACGATCTCGAAACCCACAGGGAGTCACGATGAGCCTGCATTGAGTGCATGGCAGTGTGTTTGTTTGGGGGTTTGGTTTGTTTGTTTGTTTTTATACTAGTTTGTCGTAGGGTTGGTGGCCCTGTTGGATGAGCCTTGGGCTGTTAAGCACACCATGCCTGATTCAAACCCTCCAGGTGCCCTGTAGGAGAGAGCTGAGGCTGGCTGCCCCCAGAGAGAGTTACAGCCCTGGAAACCATAGGCAGGGGTTGCTGTGAGTTGGCATCTGCTGGCTGGCAATGGATGTGGTTTCGGTTGCCATGAGTTAGACTTGACGGCACAGAAGAGCAAGTATCCTGACTTAATACAGAAGCTGTTCATAATTACAATTTAATTAATTTTATATGATTGGTCAGTAGCCTGACAATTATGTACATAAGCTATTTTAATCACAAGTCAGTTTTATCTAATATTTACCTTCCAGTTGTTTGCATTTAACTACTCCCTTGGGCTGGGAAGCTTGCTTTCCCCACGGGAAATCTATCTCCTTGCTACTGTTGTGGGCCTCCTCGTGTTTAACGGAACATGGCCCTCTCTGTCCTGCACATCGCAGGATGGCTTGGGGTCAGCCCCTTGGGATCCATGGAGGTTGGCGTTTTCAATGACTGATTTTCAGAAGTAGACTGCCAGACCTTTCTTCCTAGTCCCTCTTAGTCTGGAGATGGCACTGTAACCTGTGTTACCATTGCAACACACAATGTACTGCATACAAATGAATGGCAAGTGGCCAGGAATCCAACCCAAGCTTCGCCCACCAAACAAACAAACAGTACCAACAAGTTGATGGCGACTCTCTAGGGCAGGGTCAAACTTCCCCTGTGAGTTTCTGAGATTTAATTCTTCCCTGGAGTAGAAAGCCCTGTCTTTCTCCCATGGAGTAGCTGGTGATTTTGAACTGCTGACTTTGCAGTTAGCCCATAAGGAGCCACTAAGCCACCAGGGATCCTGGCCTCACGCTCAGGTGAGAATTCTACCATGGAACCCCCAATTCTGGCTTCTTAGATTCGGGTTTATACTTTCGTTGTGGTTTGTTTGCTTGTGTGTTTTAACAGTTCTCTTTTGACTGGTGGGTAACGGGTTGCAAACTGGGCTTGCAGTTTGAACTCCCCTGCTGCTTGGAGGGAGAAAGATAGGCTTTCTGCTCCCTCAAAGATGGACAGCCTCGGAAACCTTCCGTAGGGTTGCCATGAGTCGCCAGTGACGGGTGGCCGTGGGTTACTAGAGTTCTCAGTTAGGGTGTGACAAGCTTGTTCTCAAGGATCAGGGGGACAGGAGTTCAGCCAGTGCCCCTTCTCCGCTGGCTCCCTCAACGGTGCCGTGAAACTGCTTCTGCCTGAGCTCTGTCAGAAGCTGGAGCCGTGACACACGGACGCCCCTGCAATGCACCCTTCACGTTGACATATGTGCTATAATACCCCCTTTAACCTCTCTGAAAGGTTTCTGCAGCGCTTAAGTCCCATATCTGATCGGCTGGGCAGCTCCCCCCTTTCCACATCTGCGTTTCTTCCCCTTCAGTGGTTCTCAGTGGACTCCATCCTAGAATCTTGTGTGACCCCTGTGAGGTTCCCCCTTCTCCTTGAGTTGTGACCCTGGAGGTAGAATGAACGGTGGGTCTGGGTTCCTGCTACAATATGGTAGTCGGTCCAGTCTGGGGAGATTTTATAGACTCGGCTTCCCAGGAAGTTTGATGGTAACCCTGATCAGGAACGCTCCTATCTCAGGAGGCTGGGAACTCAACAGAGACAGCTCGTTTTTAAAAGTTCAGCAGGGTTTGTTGACAAGTACAGACATGAACAGTTTCTCCATCAATTACAAACATGGCCGAGATCCCGTTAGATACGCTCAGCCCAAAATTGCATGTCTTAAAAAGTCTTGGGAGAAGAGCAAAGGGGCCTTTGTTTCTAGTAAGACCTTGGGAGAAGCCCCTGGAGGAAAATTGTGCATGTTGCCCCCTCCAGGTTTTGGTTCAAGTCAACAGACTGATTCCCCTGCTTCCCTCATTGGCATTGCCTTTTATCTGAATGAACTCTGCTCTTAGGTTACAGGGATCCTGGGTGCGAAGTGGGCTGCAAGTTGGGCTGCTAACTGTAAGATTAGCAGTTCGAAACCACTGGCTACTCTACCTGAGAAAGATGTAGCCTTCTGCTCCCACAAAGATGCTTCAGAAACATGCAGGGGCAGCGCTACGCCCAGTAGGTTCACTGTGAGTGAGCATTGATTTGGTGGCAGTGAGTTTTGGGTTTGGGTTCGGAAGTCCATTTCAATTTTACCTAATTATGGTGCTGTGCAATTAAAATATGTTTTCAATAATCCATTGATCTAGATGGTGGGGTTTTTTTGTCTTTATTTTTCAGTGATCCTGAGCAGCTGAAGAAGGAACTGAATGAACTGGTCAGTGCTATTGAAGAGCATTTTTTCCAGCCGCAAAAGTATGACCTGCAGCCAAAGGCCGAGTGAAATATCCCTGCCTGGGGCGTAATTAAACCGAACATTTTGCTGACCTTGATTTGTGGAAGCAGTTTTTAAGGGTCAATAATTTAAAATATTACTACAAGTATTTATATATGTATGTATACATAGACATTGCTCATTTTTCATTTAATTTTTAAAGCAAAGGAAAAATAGCCAACCTAAAAAAACAAACATTCATATTAAAAGGGTGAACTACACAACAGTAATGATACTCATTAGGGAAAATTTTTTTTTTAAATTTTAACATTTAAATTTGTTTTTCAAAGCTTCAACCTAGATATTACCTGAACTTTTGTAAACTCAAGAAAGAAACTTTTAAATAACTCATGTTCAAAAGAATATTGATAGTACTATGCCTTAATTTGCATGAGCCATAAATGTATGTCTTCTCTGTAAGTCTTTATCTGTGTAATTGAAATCACCAGAGAGCTTACAGAATAAGTAAGTCCAGGCTTGTAGGAGAGCGGCTTTTTAGAGTTCTAGATTTTTATCAGTTACTTCTAGGGTAAAATAAACAAATGAATCCAATGCCATGTCCATGTTGAGGGAACATAAAATTGACAGGCACCTGTCATGTAGAGCACAAGTATCTTTAGAAAGACAAGCTTTTCTGACCTACAACATTTTCGTATTCCTAACATCATTAAACATTGTGTAGACGCCACGGTGGCATAGTGGTCACATGCTGGGCTGCGAAATGCAAGGTCAGCAGTTCAAAACTACCAAGCTCTGTGGGAGAAAGACGGGACTTTCTACTCCTGTAGACAGTTTCGAAAGGCCCACGGGGCAGTTCTACCCTGTCCTCTCAGGTAGCTGTTGGGTCAGAATTGACTAGATGGCAGTGCGTTTGGTTTTTAAACAAGGAAAACAGCTTAACCAGCTTTATTTGTATTAGAATAAATTTCTCTAAATCTGATAAACTAGACAATTGGTTATTAGGTACTTGTAATGTGATTGGTTGCCCTTTTTTGCGTAATATAATTTTACATAATTTTTAATTCAGTGCCAGCATTGGCTATGAGCAGTCACGGCTTATTTGATCATGATTTCTCAGGTAATTAAAACTAGACTATTCTCATAGATTTCCTTTTCCACGTTTTTTCTTTCATCTGTGCCTTTGACTCTTCTCTTGTACTACTGGGGGTATTGCCGCCTCCCCCAGTGACCGCAGTTGAGCACCTGTGAGCTAGGACTGAGCTGTTCTTTACAGCAAATGACTACCTGTTAGCATTATGACTGTGATCCACAGAATGGGTTAGTCACCATTTCAGACCAGGGAAAGTTATACTACAGATGCTTTTTCCAAGGGAATGGGGGTAGAAATGTGTTTCAACCTTATTGTGTCCTACTAGAACTAAGATCTATAATAGTCAATAGAGCCCATCAGCTTGCTTCATTTCTAGGGGCTATCTTTATTTTATCATCAGTTGTAGTCTGCACCTATATTCTGGGCAAAGAAACTTGCGCTCTGTGTTCCCTACAAGGACCTTTTTTTGAGCATCTGCCTTGGATCCTGTAACCGAGTTTACTTCTGGAGCTACAAAAGTGGTTCAGACCCAACTGTGTTGTGCTGTATCTAACCGTGTTGTTGGAGGGTTACTGATGTTAATTGCTATCAAGTCAGTTCTGACTCAGCAGGGGATCCCCTGTGTTACAGTGAACCCTCGTTTATCGCGGTTAATCTGTTCTAGACCCTACCGTGATAAGTGAAATTCCGCGAAGTAGGATTCCTTAT